GGGTCAGGGAGGAAAGGGGGGTGGCCCAGGTGGGGAGTGTGCTGCAATCCCTATGGAGCAGAGTGTCCGTGGAGACCCCTGGCTCCCCGCTGCCTGCCTGGGCTGGAATCAGGTCGCTCTGGAGAGAGGCTGGTTGCCTGGCGCTGGTAGGTGCCCTGATGTGGCAGAGTTAAGGTCAGCAGGGGTGGGTAGGGGTCTCGGGACAGATAGACTCCGGGTGGGCATCTGAGAGGTGGCACCCAGGAGCCATGTGTGCGTGAGCAGCTCCTGCCACGCCCCGCAGCTGGGCGCCGTGCCAGGAGGGGTACTGTCGTGAAGGCACTAACAGAGCCACCTGGGCACCCTGGCCCCTGCCAAGGCAGGCGAATGACAAGGGTTGATACATGTGGGGCTCCAGGACCTTCCCATGGGCTCTGGTGGGGAAGAAGCTCCTGCCCCCCGCCGGGCGTAGCTGTGGGAGGACTGAAGGTAGGTGTTCCCACAAAGGGAAATGGCTGGGCGCTTGGGGCACCTGGCCCAGCGCTTGCAGGAGTCTCTCCATACGTGGCCTTTCCCAGGCAGTTTTGGGCCCAGCCTGTCCCGAAGCCGTGGCAATGACTCAGAAGCTGGAGTGCGCCCTGGTGGCCTCAGTTCTCCAGCCTCTGGAGTGTAGCAAAGGGACTGGATTTCAGAGCAGTGGCCAGAGGCAGGTGGGACAAGATACGGACATCTCCCAGGGCCCGTCCCCCGAAGGCAGCTCATGACCCGCTGCTGGGCTGTCTCAGTTGCAGGAGATCGTCTTTAAGAACTTCTACACGGCTTTCCTGACCGTGCGGGTGCTGCGGTGCCACGTCTCTGATGGGGGACGTGAGGGTGCCAGGAAGTGGGTCACCTGCTTGAGAAATCACTGCCTGATGCCCAGCCCGCACACAGAGGCTGGCTCCCAGGATTACTTCTCTCTCTCCAGGCAGCAGGCAGGGAGCGCCCAGCTCCACTGCCCAGCCCGCACACAGAGGCTGGCTCCCAGGATTACTTCTCTCTCTCCAGGCATCAGGTAGGGAGCACCCAGCTCCATGGGCACGCCCCCCTCTGGAGTGGGAACCCACAACTCTATGCACAGGGAGTGCTCAGAAAATGAGCCCCTCCCTCAGTGTGGAGATGAATACGCAGCGGCCCTGGGCCCGTGAGTTTATTAACCACAGGAGATAGATTTGAAGTGACTGTAAGGCGGCCCTGGGCCCGTGAGTTTATTAACCACAGGAGATCGATTTGAAGTGACTGTAAAGACAGATCAAAGCTATTTACCCAGCAAACAAAACCCACAAACGAGCCTTCATGTGCTCAGCGGATGGAACACGAATTGGCAGAGCCTCACGCTAAGCGAGGGTACACGCAGGCCTCCCATTCTTAAGGGGCAAGCTGCACTTGCTTTCAGCTCCGAGTCCCCAGGGTTCCATTCCCTTGAGCCTGGACTCAGCACTTCTCCCAGTTCAGTCTTTGTTCCTCTTGCGTGAGGAGTGAACCTCGGACGATGGCGCTCCCCACCTTTACAGAGCTCTCACGTCTGGTGGGACTCAGACTGTGCTTAGGGCTGCGCCCAGCCAGCCCGAACGAGACTGGATGCAGCAGCCCTTGCCCTGCGTCCAGAGGGAGCCCTTTTTTCCAAAGCTCAGTCCCCACGCAAGTTAGTGGAAAAATACCGACGTCCCGAGATGGTGGTTTCAGCCCATGTCCTTGTAGAGCCACGGCAGCCTTCGCTCACAGGCTGTCTGCAGTGTCCTCAGGAGAGCTCCCCAGCTGGGGATAAGCATCTCTGGAGGTCTGCTTTGCCTAATGGCCCATCACCAGGAATAGGCCTGTCCCAGCTGGCTGTCTAGACTGATAGCACCCTGGCTGGCAGATGTTCCCCATGTGAAATGCGGGTCCATGGTCAGCGCTTATAACTTCAGACAGGAAAATGACACTTGCGTGCAGTTAGGATCATCTACATCGTAACTTTTCCAGTGACACCACACAAGACCCATCTTGCAGAAAGTGCATCACAATTATGCCACGGTTGTTTCACAGTAGTGTCACAGTGCAGTGTCCAGTCCTCGTGAGCACCACAGTGCTGGGGTACGGCCTCAGCTGCTGGCCCTTCTCCTCCTGCCTGCTGGCAAGGACCTGGTGTGCGATTTTTGGCACCCATCTGTAACTCCTGTCCCGCATTGTGCTCTGCTCCGTCCACGCTCCTGGCAACTAGCAGCCAGCCCCTCACTGCAGGACCGTGCTTGCTGCCTTGTTGTCTCTGGCAGATGCTGTGTGACGTGGATCAGGTGACCGCTGTGCGTCTGATCCTTCGCCAGCCCTCACCCGTTTGGGACCTGGTGTGCGATTTTTGGCACCCATCTGTAACTCCTGTCCCGCATTGTGCTCTGCTCCGTCCACGCTCCTGGCAACTAGCAGCCAGCCCCTCACTGCAGGACCGTGCTTGCTGCCTTGTTGTCTCTGGCAGATGCTGTGTGACGTGGATCAGGTGACCGCTGTGCGTCTGATCCTTCGCCAGCCCTCACCCGTTTGGCTGCACTTCACCCTGGAGGAGCTGCAGCTCTACCCCCGGGTTCAG